TGCTGCGGCTTTGGCAAGGACTTCCGTAAGGGCCTCCTCAAGAAGGGTGCGTGCTACGGGGACGACGCGTGCTTCGTGGCCCGGCACCGTTCAGCGGACGTACTTGGTGAGTCCCCCGGCCGGGCTCTCCCCCACCCCCAGCCCGGAATCCGCCTTCTGGGGACTCCCCTGCTCGGGACTTCCCTCTTTTCTCTGGGCAGCGAGCGGAGCCCGAGAGCCCGTAGTAGCTCTCATGTCGGGAGCGCTTACGATGTGCCAGGCGCCGTGCCAAGCGCTCCGAGGTGCGTTTTCCGCTTGACCAACCCCCATTTTAGAGGCGAGGAAACTGAGGCGCAGAGCGGTCAAGCCACGAACTCAAGGTCATGCAGCCTGAGAGTGTGACCGGTTTGTTCGAGTTCAGAGCCGCACGCTTAGTCACTTGGCTGTGCCAGCCTCGGACGACCTCGTCCCCTCCCCCCGCAGACACCTGCAGGCTCGTAACCTCGCTCCGGTGCCCTCCCTCCGCCCTCCCTCTGCGTGTCCCGGGGAACCTCTGCTGCTTCGAGTGATCCCGACGCCACAGCCCGGCCTGGGGCTGCTGGATCCCGAGCAGACAGACTGTCGTGAGCCCGGCAGCCCAGCCGCATTCTTTTGCCGCCTCGATTGCGACCAGATCTCCATCCTTTTTCCGAGTCTTCCCGAGTCTCGCAGTGGGGGCCCCCGGCCTGGTGAAAAAACACTCACAGTGCCTTACCCCAAACTGTTCTTGCCCACTTGAGGTCACCGAGGGTGGAGGAAGAGTCTCCTTGCCCCAAAATAGAATGGTCAGACCTTCTTCTAGACGGCAGCCAAGAAAGCCTGGAGAACTGGTGAAAGCCTTTGAGGCCACAGGTGCTTCCCAAGGCCTATTCCTGTTACACCTTTGGAGGTGGGAGACTAGGGTGAGAGCTTGCAGAAAGGGCTAAATAGAGATCACCAACTTTACCATAATGTGCGTCTTTAAAGACCCTGTACATGCCATAGAATCCTATGCCATGACATGTCTTTTAATAAACCACTTTGAAATTGAAGGACATGCTGTCATTGAACTTGGGTTCAAATGTCACTTTGGTTTCACTTCTCAGGTGAGATTGAGTTTTTGATTACCTTAAACTTCGTATGCTGAGGCAAAGTTTGGCATTGGAACAAATGGTCCTGTAACTTTTTATGACAATAATTACTTTTTAATTTGATCCCAGAATAACTGCCTATTATCTTTGCTTCTACTACATGTAATATTTGTGAACATGGAACTGGAAAGGTTGCTCTCAATTTAATTTATAAATGGCCCCATTACCTGGGTTGAAAAAGTCATTTAATGTTTAAGCAACACTCTAGATGTTAACTTTTAAAAGAGAAAGACAGACTCCTTAGAAGGTTGAGGAGCTTGCAGATTGAAATGCTACAAATCTGAAGTCAATTTGACCTTGATTCAGTATCTTTATTAAAAGGCTGTCAGTGGCTGTCTTTTTCCATTATATTTAGGAGTGCTTCACTCAATGAGCTTGTGACCTGTGCTGCTTTTTCAAATTGCAGTCATAGTGCAACAGGATAGGGGATAATGAGCCACAAAGGTTCCCCCTTACAGATTTGCTATGTGCTGGCTTTTATGAAAGATTTGTGAAATTTTGCTCAAACCCATTCTGAAAAAAGTATCAACATAGCATCTTGGCAGAAACCTGGCCTAATTTGGTACTCAGCTTTGCAACTTACTAGCCCTGTGATTCTGTGGTTTTGGGCAAAAGTCTCTCAGCTCATTTTCCTCATCTAGACTAAAGGATGAAGGGAGTGGACTATCTGACCCTCAAGGAATTCTGACCATCAGATCATATTTTGTTTTGCTTTGAAATGACGGCACCCCTTGTTATTTTGCACCTCAAATAGCAGATATTACTTCCTGTCTTATTCATATGGACACCTCCAGTAGATTTCTTCTGTGTTATATCTGGCTTTAAATCAGTGGTTCATAACATCCGCTTGTGTATAGTCTCTGAGAATTTTTGAGTGCCCAAGGGCTCATTCAGGGAATGTACTGACTTCATGAAGTCCATCCATGTACTATCTAGAGGTCCAAGCATGGGTTCCAGATTTTAAACCACAGCTTTATATCCCTCCTGAAAGGAATGTGACCAGGCTTCTTCAACAACTATATTTGACAAAGAGCTATTTTAAAAGTGTGTGTGTGTTCTGTGCACATCAGGGGGAGACAGGTTCTCTAGGACTGTCCTGTTGTTTTGGAGCTCTTCTGGAAAGTCATCTTGGAAGCCACCTGAAACAACTTCTGTTGGCCTCATTTATCTAATCTTTGACTTACACAAACCAGTACTTATGATGGTGCCTTATATCATCACAGGCCTGATTATCTCTTGCTGTGAAAGAGGTGATGAATCTCAGCAGTCTTCAATACTGCTTTTTACTCTGGAAGTTGGAGTTTTAAACTGAATTGTATCAAAAGGTTATGTTGAATGATCATGCTATGTTGAACCTCAGTGTTTTGAACTTTCTAGTTCTATAGATAATTTATTTTGTTTGGATTGACACTGTTTATTGCTAAGTATCTGTGGAACTCACTGGTCATCTAGGGCTACTTGACTGTGGAATGAAAGCTGTTATTTTTTTTCTGTATAGAAAGGGAAAGCTGTTTTATTTCTTTAATTTAGAATTGATCTGTTCTATTAGTCATGCAGTGACTAAAGGTATTTGATGCTTTACGGCATTTTTTAGAGTCCCACTGGATTTCTTTTAGGAAAAACCAACTATAATGGGTGTGGTGAGACATAGGAACCACTCCTATTCAATGGAAAGTTGGCCAAGGTGCTTTCTCTTTATTAGGTCCAACAGGAGTAAACCAGAACCAGCAGGAGCTGTTTGCACTTTTCTTTTTCCTTCTTCCCTGTGGTTAGTAGTTCTCTTACTCTATACAGTATGGATGCCTAAGTCCACAAAAATATCAGAACTGCCTAGTGTGTAATTGCGGGAGTTGCCTAGTGTGTAATTACTGGGCCTCCTACAGCCCTAAGCTACTTAAGAATAGTTAAGTAGCCTGATGAGAGTTTAAGACTTAGGAACTGTGGAGTCCAGTTCTTTCATTTTACTGATGAAAAAACGGTGGCCTACAGAGGATCAAATGACTTTGCTGAGGTTACTCCGCTAGTTAATGGCAGAACTAGGGCTAGCACCAAGACTCCCCGTCCCAGCCCTTTCCGTAACAACACTGGTTAAGTTTTCTTGACAAGATATATGAATTCAAAACCAGTCTGACTTCAGCTATTGTTTATCCTTCTAATGCTTTTTCTGCTTAAGGGTGTGTGTGTGTGTTCGCAACTTCTTTATTCACTTTATGACTCATAATTAAAATGCAACAAAAGCTCCTGCATACTAAACCACAGTTTACTGAAATCACTTCTTTAAAGAATGGCAGCATGGTCTGTGCCATGTAAATTCTGACCTTGGAATATTGAGTTGTAAAGTAGTTCTTTTTTAAAAATATATTTTTATTGATTTCAGAGAGGAAGTGAGGGAGATAGAAACATCAATGAGTCATGGATCGGCTGCCTCTTGCACTGGGGATTGAGCCTGCAACCGGGCATGTGCCCTTGACCAGAATTGAACCTGGGACCCTTCAATCCACAGGCCGATGCTTTATCCATTGAGCCAAACCAGCTAAGGCTGTAAAGTAATTCTTATAAAAGTGTGGGATGTTGATTTAAGCTTGATTTAACTTGAAACCTTAAAAAAGGAAGAAAGACAGCAATTTCATATTTTAGCCTTTGGACTTGATTTGAATTGTGGCCAAGTGTTTTTGTGAGTAACACCAGTCTTTAACTATTTTTTTTTTATTGATTTTTTACAGAGGAAGGGAGAGGGATAGAGAGTTAGAAACATCGATGAGAGAGAAACATCGACCAGCTGCCTCCTGCACACCCCCCACTGGGGATGTGCCCATAACCAAGGTACATGCCCTTGACTGGAATCAAACCCGGGACCCTTCAGTCTGCAGGCCGTCACTCTATCCACTGAGCCAAACCGGTCAGGGCTCACCAGTCTTAAAAGTAGTTGTTGGAGCCCTAACCAGTTTGGCTCAATGGATAGAGTGTCGGCCTGCGGACTCAAGGGTCCCGGGTTCCATTCCGGTCAAGGGCATGCATATACCTTGGTTGCGGGCACATTCCCAATAGGGAGTGTACAGGAGGCAGCTGATCGATGTTTCTCTCTCATCGATGTTTCTTACTCTCCATCCCTCTCCCTTCCTCTCTGTAAAAAATCAATAAAATATATTTAAAAAAAAAAGTAGTTGTTGGAAGGTATAAGGATTACATGAACAATGTCAAGATCAAAATTTTATTTATGAAGTGAATAGATGAGGTAGAATTTGATGTTTTCCAACAGTCCATGATAATTTTAATGTATTTGGTAGAACCTCCATATCTGAAAGTGAGTTGTCCTTTTAACAAAGTAGTCACCTTGGGAGAGTGTGTATGGCCACTAATTGTAGCCTTTTAAAAAGTCCTCTGTGGAATTTCCCTCAGCTAGATTTCAAACTGCATCAAGAAACCAGTCTTATTATTTTTGTATTTATAATTTTTTGAAAGTCAAATTTTAGCCTGATATACCTATTACCTGTAGACAGGATCCTGATTGAATTTTTAAAAATCGAGATAATAATTCACCTGCCATATCACTCAACTTTCAAAGTAAAAAAATCAGTGGCATTTCTTATATTCACAGGGTTGTGCGACACCACCAAAAACATATTCATCACTCCAAAAGAAACTCCCTACCAATTAGGAGTCACTCCCTCAACTCCTGACAACAGAAAGTAGATTCTGACTCTAGATTTGCCTATTTTGGACACTTCATATATATGGAATTATATTATATTCAATCTTTGTGTCTGGCATTTTCACTTGGTATACTATTTTCAAGGTTCATCCACATTGTATGTATTAGTACTCCATTCCTTTTTATAGCTGAATAATATTCCATTGTATGGATATACCACATTTTGTTCACTCATCTATAAATGGATATTGGGTAATTTTCACTTTTTGGCTGTTGTGAATAGTGCTGCTACGACACATTCATGTA